ACACAGAGGAAAATCTAAGGGTTGCTAGTTGGGAGGGGGTGGGGATGAAGGAGAAGGTGAAGGGATGAGACAATACAAATTGGTAACAACAATATGGCCTCAGGGATAGAAAAGACAGTCTGGGGAATATAATCAATAATGTTGTAAATATTTTTTAAAGGGCTAGATGGACTCATGTCTTATTAGGGATACCACTTCATAGTCGGTGTAGAGGCCTGACCACTGCACTGTATATCTGAAGCTGATGTTGAATAATATAGTATGTCAACTATAATTATATATACATATAGTCACGCGACATGGAGTAGAGAGTGAGAATGGAGTCAATGGAATTGTAATAGATAAGCATGATATTGGGGGTGGGAGGCAGTAGATGGGGGTATCAGACTACCTGATGTCAAATTACACTACAAGGCCATAGTAATCAAAACAGCATGGTACTGGCATAAAAACAGACACACAGATCAATGGAACAGAGTATAGAGCTCAAAAAGAAATCCATGCCTATATGGTCATTTAATCCATGATAAAGGAGGCAAGAATATACAGTGGGGTAAAGACAGTCTATTCACTAAATGGTGCTGGGAAAAATGAACAGAAACATAGAAAACAATAAAACTGGACCACCATCTTACACCATATATAAGAATAAACAAAATGGATTAAAGACTTAATATAAATCCTGAAACCATAAAACTGCTAGAAAAAAACACAAGCAGTAAAGTCTCTAATATTGCTATTAGTAATATTTTTTCTGATATATCTCCTCAGGCAAGGGGAACAAAAGAAAAAATAAACAAATGGTACTACATCACACTAAACAGTTTTTGCACAGGAAAGCAAGCCACCAATACAATGAAAATACTGTCTATTGAGTGGGAGAAGATACTTGCCAATCATACATCTGATAAGGGGTTAATATCCAAAATCCATAAAACAAACTCATAAATCTCAACACACACAAAAAAACCAAACAATTCAATTAAAAAATGGGCAGAGAATTTGAATAGACATGTCTCCAAAGAGGACATACAGATGATCAGTAGACATATGAAAAGATGCTCAGTGTCACTAATCATCAGAGAAATGCAAATTAAAACCACATAAGATATTACGTCACACCTGTCAGAATGGCCATCATCAATAAATCAATAAACCACAAGTGTTGGCGAGGAGGATGAGTAGAAAAGGGAACCCTCATGCACTGTTGGTGGGATTGCAAACTGGTGCAGCCACTATGGAAAACAGTATGGAGGTTCCTCAAAAAATTAAAAATAGACCTACCTTATGACCCAGCAATTCCACTTCTGGGTATTTATCCAAAGAAATCCAAAGCACTAATTCAAAAAAATATATGCACCTCTATGTGCATTGCAGCACTATTTACAATAGCCAAGATATGGAAGCAACCTAAGTGCCTGTCAATAGACGATTGGATGAAGAGGTGGTACATTTATACAATGTGGTATTACTCCGCCATAAAGAAGAATGATATCTCCCCAATTGCGACAACATGGATGGATTTAGAGGGTATTATGCTATGTGAAATAAGACATAAGACAGAGAAAGACAAATACCATATGATCTCATTTATATGCGGAATCTAAAGTACAAAATAAATGAACAAACAAAACAGAAACATACTCGTAGATACAGAGAACAAACTGATGGTTGCCAGAGGAGAAGGGTGTTTGGGAGCTGGGTGGAAAAGGTGAAGGGATTGGGAAATACAAATTGGTAGTTACAAAATAGTCATGGGGATGTAGAATACAGCACCGAGAATACAAGTATAGTCAATTATGTTGTAACCACTAGGTAAGGTACAGTGCCAGGTGGGTACTAGACTAATCAGGGGGATCACTTTGTAAATTATACAAATGTCTAACCGTTATGCTGTATATCTGTACCTGATATAAAATAATATTGAATGTCAAGTGTAACTGAAAAAATAATTTTTGAAAAGAAAAACGTTATTGAAGATGAAAAAATCTTCAATGGATGCTGATTTTTACTGAATGCTTTTTCTGTATCTTTTAAGACGATCATATTTTTTCCCTTTTATCTCCTAATATGTTGAATTATATTGTTTGGCATTCTAATAATAAACCAACCAGGTATTCCTGGAATAAACCCAATTTGGTCCTGATTTATCATAATTGTTATATATTGGAGGGTTAAATTTGTTAATATTTTGTATAGGATTTCTATATCTATGTCCATAAGGGATATTAGCCTGTAATTTTTCCTTTCTTGTAATGTGCTTGTCATATTTTGGTATCAAGGATTTGCTAGCCTAGTAAGACCAGTTCGGGAGTACTACTTTTTTCTATCCTCCTTTGGCTTTCTCCATTTACAATTGAGGAAACTGAGCTCAAATGTACTTAAATAGATTATTTTTCATATTTGGAGACTATCCAATTAGATGCTTATAACCATGATGTATTAACCAGCCTCCTTATGGATTCTTGTTTCCTATGTTTCACTATTATAAACATGCTCAGAAGAGCATCCTCATTCACATGCAGGTTTGCATATGAGTATGTGACCAATTATTTCCAGAGGATACATTCCTAGAAGTAGCATTGTTGAATGAAGGACTATGTTCCATAGGACTTGGAGGGGGAGGTGGCATGACTTATTTTGGTAGCACCCGCTCACATTCAGGGCCCTCCGTCATTTATTTTTTTTAAGCTGAGCCATCCTGCCACCTGTTGGCTGCTCAGCTCAGACCGGGACTTGAACTGCTGTTGCTCAGAGCTCAAACTCTTGAGCGAGCTTTTAACCAACTGAGCCACTTGGCCGGCCCCCGCCCCTCATTTCTTAATGTGCCTGTGATACTCTTTAACCCTGAGCTACTAGAGACTTTAATATGTAGTATTTAAAGGTCAATTAAAATCTAAGAAATCACCAAATTCCTGAATTTTTCAAGTGATTTGGAGGTTTTTTAACTTTTTAAAATGGAACTTCTCAAACACACACAAAAGTATAGAGAATTAATTGTATAATAAAGTTCCACGTTCCCATACTCAGTTTCAAGAATTATCAACATTTTGCAGATCTTATTTTATCTATAATCCCCCATACTTTTTAATGGGGATATTTTAAAGCAATTCCTAGGCATCATATCAAATGGTATGATTCTCTTATACTCTATCCATAGTTATATCTCTCCTTTTTCATTCCAAATATTTTTTATAGGAGTAAAATTCACATAACATAAAATTCACCATTTTAACCATTTTTTTTAAAGCTGAGCCATCCTGCCGCCTGTGGGCAGCTCAGCAGCTGCTCAGCTCGGGCTGGACTCGAACTGCTGTTTGCTCAGAGCTCAAACTCTTGAGCGAGCTCTTAACCAACTGAGCCACTCGGCCGGCCCCATTTTAACCACTTTTTAAGTGTATAATTCACTGGCATTTGGAACTAATTCAATTTTATTTATTTGTGCATTTCTCTTTATCCTGGGTCAATTTCTCCAGAAGTTTGTTTACTAGCCTTTTGGTTTAGTATATTGGTTTAATATATTGGTTTAGTTGACTTTTCTATTATTTTGCTCTCTTCTATTTCATTGATTTCTACTCTCATCTTTATTAGATCCCCCCTTCTACCTTACTTAAATTACTATATTGGACATTTGCTGCATATATTTTCTGTCTTCATTTTCAATATACACACATTGGCTTTAAATTTACTTTTGAGTACTTTTTGAGGTACATTCTACAAGACTGGATGTAAGGCAGATTTTTCATTATCCTTCAGTTCCAGGAGATGCAGGCACTTTCCTGGCTGAAGACCAATGGCAAAATTTAGTCTCAGGATGGACACAGGCTTCTGGAAACTTCAGATCCACAGCCCCAACCACTTTACCTTCACCCTAGCTAAGTACATCTTGGGGTACTCAAATAAAAAAACAGGCTGGGCCAACCGAGTGGCGCATTGGTTAGGAGTTGGTTTGGGACGCCAGCTCTGAGCAGCAGGGCCCCGGTTCAGATCCCACATGAGGGCCAGCGACACTGTGCCCTCTACAGCTAAGATGGCGAACAACAGCTCAACCTGGAGCTGGGCAACTGTGAGTCACCGGTGTAGGCTATAGTGGGGCTGGCCGGCAGCGGGCATGAGATTTAGTGAGCTGCCGTGAACGGCCATCCAATGGCCAGCGAGCAACTGCCTCACCCGGGAAGAGCACAATGATAATACCAACATGGGCCAGTGAAGTGATGTCCTCCACAACTAGACTGAAGAACAAAAGGACAGCAACCTATCTGTTCCCCTTCCCTGATTCCTCAACACTGTTCTTCTCCCCCAATTCCCCAATGAAATCTTAAAAAAAGAGGCTGATCTCACACGCTTTTGAGTCCTCATCTGTGAATCCACATGTGTTAATAGTTGGACTGACTTCCAAGGGGTTGTGAGGAAGTGATGTGAGAATTCAGGTAAAACACCAAGGGGACTGCCTGACACAGAGCAGTGGCTGTATTAATATTATAATATGAATGCAATGAGGTAAAACTGAAATTTCTTCCTTTCACCGAGAGAAACTGTTGCTAGAAATCAGGCCCTAGTCCAAAGACCCGCCAGCACAAGGCAGGTAGCAGTATCTTGCGGAAGATTTGGGGCAGTGGAGATAGTTCATTCCAGTCCAGCCGACAGCATGAAAGACAATCTCAGAACCAAGTGCCTGCCAAGACCTGACTTTTATAGGAGAAGAACAACGACATATATGTTTGTGTTTGTGCTAAGGAAGACCTGGAAAAATACACACCAGACGGGACTGCAGGGAGTTTGGGGAACTTTTATTTTTACTTTTTCCCTTTCTGCGTTTGAAAGCTGTTACATTTTCAATGAGCCTATGCTATACTAAACAATGCTAAAATAAGTTATTTTTTAAAGGCCAACCAATAAAAAACTGAACCAATCAGCAAATTACACAAAATAATCTCAGGATAGTTTCACTCAAAGTTCTCTCCCATTCAGCCTCCTCCCTGGCCCATGGGCTTCCTCACCTTCTTGGCTTAGCAGCTCCCATCCTCCAGATTTCCTTCTGCAGTTCAGCTGCTGTCTTCCTCTACACCCAGGCCATCTCAGCTGGGTCCAGAGCCTCACTAATCTTCCAAGCTAAGCAAGCGTCCCTGCAGTTGTGTTCCTAATGCAAAGACAGTTCCTGTTCTGAGAGGAATTATTTAGTTAGCTCTTAAAGCATTTTATTCTCTCCTACTTCATATGGGTGAAGTAGCCGAAAACTACTGAATTTAACGCAAGTCCCTGTGAAGAGGCTGAGAGGGAGGGATGGTTTAGATAATTCATCTACAAACCTGTTCAGAGATGTTGGGGACAAGTGTTTGGTGCAGTTATGTTGGTATTCCATGGCACTGCACTTATAGTGCACCAGGCACTGTTTTAGACTTTGGAAATGTTCACGCATTTCATTCTCATCACAACCCTATGAGTGACTTCCTGTTATTACTGTATTTTACCAGTGAGGAAGCTGAAGACCAGAGAGGTGAACTAACCTTGCCCAAGTTCATGCAGCTTGTAAGAGAAGGATCTAGAGTTTCAGGAATGCCCAAACCATGTTACTCCTCTCTTTATCCATTTTTTTAACAACTATGGGGACAGGAGAGATTTTATCTGACTGGGCAGTGGGAGCCAGTGAAGAGTTTCAAGCAGGGCAGTGACATGATAAGGTTTTCACTGTAGGTAGGTAGCCCAGCTTGTCAGTTGGGTTGCAGGCATGACAGACTAGAGGCAGAGAAGATGACTGTGTTAGAGAAGATGAGAACCAGACCAGGGTAATGGCAGTGAGTATGGGGAGGAGAAGATGGATTAGAGAGCTACTGAGGATGTAAATTTGGCAGGATTTGGCAATTTCTTAGATGGAGACAATGAAGAGTTCCAGGTTTCTGG